GGGGTGTATGGCAGTTCCCAAAGTATTTCATGGAGATTTATCCTTCTCTCCTTGCATTTATTTCTCTCTTGAAGCAGGGACAGCCCCTGTGGCAGTTGATTCAGGGAGGAGTGGCTGGAGAAAGGGGGGAGGATAGGGATGCGCGCTATAGATCATGCTGCAATACAAGACAGCTTGCTGATGTATGAGGGTTCTCTCTTGTATTATTGTGAATGTGCTTCATTTCTTATGAAGGCGTTTGTCTGGGGCTGCTTTCCCTTTTTTTCTAACCTGTAAGTTGTCTCAGCTGCACAGAGAAGTCCTTTAATTTCCAACAGGCTTGATTTGAGGGGGGGGTGGGGGGTAGACGGTGGTCAAGTCTGATGTGCACCCCGGCATTTGGTATGTGACCGCTGAATGCTTTCTTCATTTCAGACACGATCATGGGTATGGCTGCTGAAATACAGCCTATGAAGATTTCACTCCAGCACTCTAAGTGGAGGTTGCGGCTGCATACAGAGAGAAGCAGAGAGATTTGGGAATAGCCCAGACGTTTTTGGCTGCAAGGATTTTTGTTGCAGTCTTCTCCAGCGATGTGTTAGCAGTCGAAACAATCGCCTGAGACCAATGAAATACACAAAACTGTATCTCTGCGATGATCAGCCTTCTATCAGAACCATGGTATTCTCCAATTGCCATCTGTGGCTCAGACCTCATCAAAGTAGTGTTGGGGATTTGACACAGGAGGTGGTGGAAGAAGAGCGCCGCAACTTTTGAAGACATCTAACCTACCATTCATTCACCTTTTCTTGGACTTTAGTGGTGTCGGTGGTCATTTCATTGGAATTCTACCTCCTGCTCCTGTCCTAGAGGACGCAGCAATGGGACTTACTTAAGAGTTAATTTCTGCTTTTTTTTTTATGATCAGACCACCACCACCAGTTTGTCAACTGCCTTTCCCAATCTCTGATTGACAAGGGTCAAGTAAGCAGCATGCTTTGCTCGGTGATCCCAACCATGGCTAATGTCCAGGCAGTGAGGATGGACTTCCTTCATAGCCTGAAGCATTCTAGACGTCCTGTCCTCATCATGGCTAATTAAAAGTCCATCCATCCCTGAGAGTAAATACAGCAGTGGAGGTGGCTGTTCATACACAACTTCTAAGTTTTTGGAAGAACTGATAAGTTCCTGTAGCCTAAATTACTCTGATGCAAGCATTTTGGTAATGGGAGGCAAATGGAAGCCTACTAGCTAATGTTTTAACCAAACTACACTACTTTGCACAGATCTTTTGCCTTAGAGAGAAATAAGGGTATTTGTTTGGGTTCTCAGCTGCATAGCTCTAGGCTAGGTTAACTGATGAGGATACAATCAGTAGTCTAACGCATTTGTTTTTGACGTTTATCTTTTGATAAGGGAGCATCTCCGTATGTTGGTGATCCCTGATGGTCCTAGCAAGGCTCTGGGAGAGCCTCACATCTCAGCCTGTGCCTCTCCCCCTCCTTAGCTCCCTCTGCACTAGGATGTTGCGGAAGGTTCTGCACAGGGGGCTGAGAACGTGCTTTTCAAGACTCGGGTTTTTTATCGCCAGCCATCCAGTGTTTTTTGTGTCAGCTCCAGTGCTCATCTCCATTTTGCTGGGGGCCAGCTTCAGCAGGTATAAGGTGGAGGAGAACATTGAGTATCTGCTAGCTCCAAAGCACAGCCTAGCCAAGATAGAGAGGAACCTGGTGGATAGTCTCTTCCCAGTCAACCGTTCAAAGCACCGTCTATATTCTGATCTCCAGACACCTGGAAGGTACGGCAGAGTCATCATAACTTCATCTAGGAGAGCAAACATGTTGGACCAACATCACACGGATCTCATTCTAAAGGTAATTATTATGCTGCATAGCTTGCATGCCTAAACCACCTGTTAGCACTGCTACTTAGCATATCAATATCATTCTGGAGAGAAATTCCCAGCACACTTGAAAGAGATTGTCATTCCACAATAAGCATCTTTAAATTGGCTTGTGCAGAACACCTTTATCATATATTGCTACATTTTATATCTGTTTTCTACAGTGGCATGGGTAATATAGATACAAGCATGTGCAGACTGCATTAACTCATAGTAACTAAACAGCCATCTTCTTGAATTGTATTGATTGTTGAATATGCTGAAATCTAGGGGAATGTGATTGGCCCCTGTGGGATATAGCACAGCATTACTGGTCTTTTTAAAGGGTCAGTCCACCTGGAATCAATATTTTATTTTGCAGTAGGTGCTGGTATGCTGAATAACTCATCTGCACCATATATATTTTTGGGAACTCTAGTGGCAAATATTTTCACCTGAATTCCCTGGTCCTTACATCTACTGTGGCAATTGCAAGGGGGTGGGGGTTGGAGTTCTCATTTACGTTGCATTACGGTGAATACAAAGGGAGTGCCAGTGGGGTTTTATTTGCAGTGGGACAAGTGAGACTGTGGGGAGAGAAACAAGATTGTGTACTATGGGGGCAGAAACAAGATTGTTTGCAGTGTATACCCTAAAAAGCCAATAATCCATAAAGCTAACCAGTCCAGCAATGATTAAAATGCTATTTTTGGTACAGTAACATTTTATATGAGTCTACTGACACTGTGTTTGCTGTCACCAAAGTGTTTTGCTGTCACCAAGTGTTTGCTGTTACCAAATAGTACAGATGTGCCAGAACCAGCCAAAAAACCCAAATCAGGGTTAATCTAATCTGGTCTAATGCAACAGCTCGGTTTACAAAGTGCTTACATTTGTATCCCTTAAATCCGATGTGGAATGTAATACATCTTTATTGTGGCATTGTTTGGGCATAAAAATGGGCCCTTTGTGAAATGTAAATAAAAATGGCATGGAACATGGCAGATCTGGTATTTTTCATCTGAGCAGTCTTATAAAATGATATCAATGCTTTAGGGCAGGATCAAACAGGCATTTTAGCAGTGTACTTGACAATTAATGTATCTAGTGACTTTTACTGGCCTGCCACAATGTAACTTTCAAACATTCGTTCATGTGACACTGCCAGGTCAGTTTACATTCACTTATTTTGTACTGAGTTTTTCATTAGAGCAAGGATCCACATTGGAGAATCTAGGGTGTTGCTAGGTAACGTGTTCATTTAAAAACTGTGACGATGTCTAGGTGCCATTAGAAAGTACCGATTTGAAAAAGCCATACCATGCCCTGTCTTTCAAATATAATTTAACAGAGGAATAACTTTTTTATGATGCGTTCTTGTTTACTCCTATAAAGCCAGTCAAGTATAATGGGCAGTTATGGTATTGAAAAGATAAAAAGATTGTATCTGCATGTGTAGTGTGGCAAAAAGTTGAGACATGTACAAGTGATATTTACCTGTACAGTCGTATTACAGAGATAAATTGCTCTGGAGATCCAGTAGAACAGTCTCCACTGCTTGGCCATGTTGTGATGGTTTCTTACATACATCTTGGGATACCAAAGTCAAAATCTCTCTGCTGGAATAGCACTCTTCTTGTAGTGAATTTGACTTGCTTAATTCACTCTTATCAAATCAAAATAAATGAAATATCTTACAGGATGTGAGATGAACATAGAAGACCCACTTGCCAGCATGGTATTAGAAGAATCTGTTTTGGGTAGACACATCCTTTACGCCTTAGCTAAGGAGTAGTAAATTCATGTTTTTTTGTACATTGCATTCATTTTTATAGAGTGTGAGGAAAACATGTTGCACCTATTAAAATCACATCCTAGAGTGAGTAATTGCAAAAACATTTAATCAATGGAAATGACCATGTGTCAGAAGCAGTGGAAATTTAGTGGCACATTGAACAGTTATTTCATATTCTTGAGAGCAACTCTAACAGCAAGTGAAATCAGACAGTGAACTGCTAATGCTATCTGTCAAATACTGCAACTGTGCTAAACTCAAAAATCCCATTATGTGCACTGTTACCTGATTTCAGAATACCAATCATGGAGCTGGTCGGTGAATCTGCTTCCTGAATTTATATGTTGTAACTTCCTTTGTGTTTTGTGAAGCAAGTCTGCTAAACTTAGCATTTAAATTTTCTCTATGAGAGAATCAGCATGATGCCTCCAATTGATGTGTGGGAATAGTTCTTCTGTATTACAGAAAATAATATAAAATGGCTTCCCTGAGCACCAGATAATTAACAAAAGGGAATGGGTGGACTGGTGCATTATAGTTTTGCCTGGGAAATTCTCTGTGGGTTGGTTGTGCTTCTTTAAAAAAAATAATTTACATTTTGGCTGGGATGTACTTTTAAATGGACGGTCCATTCACACACATAACATAGCTTAAAGTGGACGTAAATGAAAAAGAAAAAAAAAAACTGACTTTAGGTCCACTGGTCTCCTTTGCTGTTGGGTGTCAATCTGACACCTATAGACATCTTCTTCAAATTCTGACTAGCACTGCTTTCTTCTACATGAGCAGTCAATCAGTGCCTCTGCCTCACAGAACCCAGTAGCACCTAGTCAAACTTCAAGCATCCCTGATCGAGAGAGAGGAAGCCAGAGTCGCCCCTATAATGAGGCATCCTGAGGCTGTTGCCTCAGCCCACACCTCTTTGGGTCAGGTAGAGGGGCACAATGTTTGCAGTTTGCCTGCCATGCCCTTTCCGACCAGAGCACCGCAGGTTGCTAAGAGCCGGGCAGGGACATGTGTAAGGGCCACATCTCCCCGGCGCCTAGCTCTTAGCAACCTGGGACACTGATCAGTCAGAACTTCAGAACTTCCCCGTAGCGCTGAAGCTTGGCCAAGAAAATAAACTGCATTGTACTTGCACCTCCGGTCTTCAGTGGAGTGTCCTTGTTACAAGTGGTGTCAGAAGTGGGATACACTATTGTACCGGCCAAGGACACCTTGAGTGTACGTGACAACTCGAGGATTGGTGAGCCCCTATCTGTTATGCTACAGCAAGCTATTTATGTTGGATTTCGTGTTATCTATCGTTTTGAAAGCAAATAAAACTGCATTGTACTTGCACCTCCGGTCTTCAGTGGAGTGTCCTTGTTACAGTATATATATATATATATATACACACGTCTGGAAATAATTGGACACTGATATTTTGGCTGTTTACCAAAATAAATTTAAAGTTACAGTAAATAAATAATCTGGGCTTAGAGTGCAGTAAGAGTTTAGGAATTATAGCTCTTTAATATGTAGCCCCCTCTTTTTCAAGAGACTAAAAGTAATTGGACAATTGATTTAAAAGCTGTTTCATGGACAGGTGTGCGCTAATCCTTCATTAATTCATCATCAATTAAACAGATAAAAGGTCTGGAATTGATTCCAGGTGTGGCATTCGCATTTGGAAGCTGTTGCTGTGAACCCACAATATGCGTCCACAGGAGCTGTCAATGCCAATAAAACAGGTCTTCCTAATGGTGGCCATACACTCTACAACCATCGCAAGACTTTAGTCTTGCGATGGTTGTAAAGGGATTAAAAAAACGTACGATCTGCCTATCTTGGACAGGCAGATCGCACTCTCGATCATCGCAAGCCCACCCCCCTGAGGGGCGGGCTTCCGATGACCGCAATGCTGAACGGGCGCTGGTTCGACAGAAGACGTGCGACCGTACAGTAGAAACGGTCGCACGTCTCCGTTCACACTGCTCGATTATCGTACGAAAAACCGATCGCATACGATTATCGTACGATAATCATGCAGTGTATGGGCACCTTAAAGGTGCCCATACACTGCACGATTCTCGTATGAGAATCGCTGGAAATCCTGCGATCGTAAGAGAATCGTGCAGTGTATGGAAGGCGTGCGACCGTTTCTACTGTGCAGTCGCATGTCTTCTGTCGAACAAGCAGGCCGGAAAACCCGCCGGGAATCGTACGAGTCTCGGCGAGTTAGTGGCCTGCTTGTTCGACAACTGCCGAACGGGCTGGTGTGCGCATACGCACACGGCCCGTTTGCAGTTATCGCAAGCCCGCCTCTCATTGCAGTCATTGCAGTCAGGGGGGCTTGCAATGATCGCGAGTACGATCTGCCTGTCCAAGATGGGCAGATCGTACTTTTTTAAAGTACTTTACAACCCTTTTGTCTTGCGAGGGTTGTAAAGTGTATGGGCACCTTAAGGCCTTGTTCACACCAAGCGCAGAGCAGTTACAGACCGGAGCAAAACTGCATCCAATGTATTCCAATGGTATTTTTTAGCTCCAGTTCACATCGCAGCGTTCAGTTCCAGAGTAGGTAAAAAAAACTGCAGCAGGCCATATTTTACCTGCTCTGGAACGCATGCAAATGCATCAAAAACGCATGCAAACGCCTGGAACGCACTGAAAGCCCATTTTAAACTAAAAAATTTAAAATTAAATGTTTTTAAACAAAAACGGCCCAGAACACATCAAAAACATGGCACAACCCACTGCACTGCGTGTGCAGAAACTCATGCAGATCTGCTCTGCATTTGGTGTGAACAAGGCCTTAAGCTGGCCATACACCTTACAATTATCTGCAGATTTTCTATGGTCAGATGGAAAAGGTGCAACCGATTCCTCAATCTACACTTAACTGTGTGGATAGAGTAATCTCCACCTGGGCCAATCTGTTGTACTTTTTCCATCTCACCACAGAAAATCTGCAGATAATTGTAAGGTGTTATGGGCACCTTTAGGCTGCAAAAAAAAAAGAAATCCATCAGAGAGAAAGCAGGAATATTAGGAGTGGCCAAATCAACAGTTTGGTATAGTCTGAGAAAAAAGAGCGCAATGGTTAGCTCTTCAACACAAAAGGCCTGGACATCCACGGAAAACAACAGTGGTGGATGATCGTAGGATCCTTTCTATGGTAAAGAAAAACTCCTTCACAACATCCAGCCAAGTGAACAACATTCTTCAGGAGGTAGGCATAGCATTATCATTAAGTCTACCATAACAAGAAGATTTTACGACAGCAAATACAGAGGGTTCACCACAAGGTGCAAACCATTCCTAAGCCTCAAGAATAGAAAGGCCAGATTTGACTTTGCCAAAAAAAATAGAAAATCCAGCCCAGTTCTGGAACAGCATTGTTTGGACAGATGAAACTAAGATGAACCTGTACCAGAATGGTGGGAAGAAAAAAGTATGGATGGAAAACAGCTCATGATCCGAAGCATAGCACAGCGTAAAACGCAGCAAAGACAGTGTGATGGCATGAGCATGCATGGCCTGCAACGGCTCTGGGACACATATATATATTATTGTATTAAAGGGCCAATAGAAATGTGTGTTTCTAATTGAAATAGCCAATAACAGCCTCGCTATTTATGTCCACGCAATCTGTTTTTTTTTTTCTGATGGCAGGAGTTGTCAGAATACAAACAAAACAGCAGATAGCAAGGGGAAGCATTAGCTCCCTTGCTATCTGCCATAATTTTTGGGTGGGTGGACCTTTAAAAAAAAAAATAATGGGATTGTTTATGTGTGTGTGTGTGTGTGTGAGAATGTCTGTGAGTGTGTAATATTGTGTCTTGTTAGTGTTGTTGAGGGCCCGTTCACATTAGTACAGTGCGTAAATCGAACAGTCCCATGCAATTATCGCAATGTGCCATGCAATCGCATCTACTACGCGTTCTGGTGTGGGAGGTGCATTGCGTTGCCATTCATTTGAATGGCACCCCAAACGCATCTCCAGCACCAGACTAGGCGGTGCCGCAATGCCATGCGTTCCATTGCAGTGCGACTTGGGTCACAACTTAATGATCTAGAGCAAATGTGGGTCAGGTGGAGGTTACACAGGTTGAGAACCACTGCTTTACAGGGTCAGGTTGTCTTTTAAGAGCACCAATGTTTTCTTGATAACTTGACCAGTTCTCTCCATGTATGACTAGTATAGTTATGTAGAGACTATCCACTTAGCAATGCAAATGTTTACTGAGGTTAGTAATTAAGGTGCAGCTGTGCTAGATTTGAATACATATGTACAAGAGAAATTAAAAATTGCGGATATTTTCCAGCGCATGGTTGAATTGAACAAAGCTTTATTTACTAAGCTCTGTGAACATTTAAGTTCTTAACTGAACATTCTCTTTACTAGGTGAACAGTGTCCACTTCTTTAATAAATGAATGAGGGAATTACCAACATATATTGGAAAGGAGGGGGGTGCTGGGATTGTTATCATAATTTTTCAATAGATAATTATTTATCAGATGGTTTGCCCTGCATCTATGTACAGTCTTGTATCACAAAGTAATCCCAGAATCACGACTAGTCTTTAACTACTTGTAGCGTTGATCAGTAACCACTGCGGCTTCCGTTTTGTGCAGTGCCAGACCTGCATGATTCACAGGATGGCATTAAAATAGCATGAATTTGCATATACATGACGGTGCGCTGCTCTATTTGTCTACTGTCAAAGCCAGGGTAGCTAATAGAAGAACTGCTCTTGGCAATAATTTATTTTGGTGTTTAGTGTATATGGGAGGCCATGTTTGCTATGATTTTTAATACACAAAAAGATATTTCATAAAAATGTTTTCATTTACTTTACTTTGTGCATCTTAATTTAAAATATGTTATTGCCATTCATGTTTACATTTTTTAACCTGCCTCTTTTAAAAAATTAGTGTAATTAGACTGTTCTGAATAAAAAACAGGACTAAGTCATTTTTTTAAATTAAATATACAGGAGAAATGTGCCTCTTTTATTACCACCAAGTAATCTAATCTGTTTAAAGATCAACTCTGGGTAAAAATTGTATTAACGCTTGCAGTGGGGCTACCCTCGCACTGCAAAGGTTAATAGCTCGTTTTTGCATAGGGTAAAAAACATACTCGCCAGAGCCTCTGAGCCGGCCAGCTGTAACAGTGCTCCCTCCTGCCTGTCTCCTCCACTGCTGCATGGTATGACCCACAGCATCCTCACATCCTATACACAGTGTATAGAACATGATGACTCGGGGACCTTAGACCGCAGCAGTGGATGGTAGAGAAGCGGAAGGGACCGGTCTAAGATAGGGTTGCCACCCGTACGGGTTTCACCCGTACAACCCGGGTTTGGAATCACGTGCCCGGGTCTGTGGCCACCTCCCGCCCGGGCACATGATTCAAACATTACAATGCCGCATTATACCTGCATTTCTTGCGGCGGACGCCAGGTGGCGCTGTCTCCTGTTCCTCGACTCTCCCTCCCTCCTATTTCCTCCGCGGCTGTAGTGGGAGGAAGTGACATCAGGGAGAGAGGGAGCCGTGAGGGACGAATCTTCCTCCGGCAGCCAGCCAGCAGGGGTGGAGAGCAGCGCTTTCATCTGGCAGACGAGTTTGGGGCCGCCCTTCTCATCTCCTCAGCGACCTGTCATCTCACCTTTGAAGAAAAGCAGGTATTTATTACATTTTTATCAAATGCAATATGAATTGGAAGGGGGGGATCAGTATTGCACATTAAACATGCCCCCCAAAAAAATGTTTTGTGGGGGCATCTTTTATGTGCAATAGTACACATCAAGGATACAGGCAGGGGAACAAAACCTGACACAATTTCTTTATAGGTGACACAATAGGAAATGAAGGTCGGGGACACAGATGTTATGTGATATATTTTAATACACACAAAACAAATAAAACGTATGTCTGGTGTTCTACTTAAGGGCTTGTTTCCACCTGCCCGCACATCTACCGCAATGTCCCGTGCCCGGAACGCACAGTAACATGGGATCTTGGTGCCGGTGTGCTGGAGACATCTGTATTGTTGTTCTGTTGTGAGCAGCGCCATCCGCAGTCATTACCGGCACCCGTTACTTTTGGCATATCTGGTAAGAACTGCGGCAAGGTATATGGGTACTGCTTTGTACACTTATCTACAGAATGCATATCTGGGGACCTGTGGCATACTGGTAAGTTGTGATTAACTCAAATGTCGTTTATTTACAAAATACATGCATAGTGTATACTTTACAAACAAATTGCCGTGAAGCGCTATAGTGTTCGGGTTTGGCCTGAAGAAAAGGTGGCAACCCTAGTCTAAGAGCAAACTGGCTCTAAAGGTTCGGGTGAGTATATTTTATTTTTTTACCCTAGGCAAAAACGTGCAGTTAACCCTTGCAGTGTAAGGGTAACCCACACTGCAAGGGTTAATAATTTTTTTACCTGGAGTTCTACTTCAATGAATATATGCTAGGGGAAATGTAGCACTGCTGTTGTATTACAATAGCAGTACAATACTTTATGTAAAATAAATAATTATATGGATCATAATTTGACACCAGGCATACAAGCTTGTACCCCTATAGCTGAAATGCAATCAAGCTTGGTGCCCCCTTCATGCCGCTTCCATCCAATGTGCTCTTTTTTCTGGCCTTTTTCAAGACTAATTTACAAGCTTTTTTTAAAAAAATAAAAAAAAGTAGTTGTGCGCTGCCACAGGGAACATGTACTAATGTACTAATACAAAACAGAATGTAAAAAATGCAGTTCACCATAATCCCTATACTTCTTCAAATAAGGGTTGCCGGATTTGGGCTAGAAACAGTGGTGTCCCAAGGGGGGTGAGTCCCGCACCGGGTGACACCAAAATGTCTACCAGTCATTTTGGTGTAAACTCCTCTTAAAAGAGAGCCCAACAGCGACACGAGAGAGAGAGGGAGCAACCGGCAGCATACCTGATCCTGCCGGGTCAATATGCCCGCCTCTCTTTGCTGGCATCCATCTCCAAGATGGCCGCTGGCAGTGAAGTAAATCACCACACATGTGTGATGACGTCACACTGTGGACGTCATAACACATGTGCAGCGGCCACACCAGGTGACACCCACCCTGGTTAGAAATGTGTCTGAATTTGTCAGTAACTTGCTTGATTTAACTCCCTCCTTGTGCTGATGATGTTTTGGTTCAGCTGGATAATTTCATATCAAAGCAAAATTTCATGTGATGTCATTGGTTTCAGAAGTCTGAACAGAGTATTACATATACTATGTTATATATATATATATACGCATTGTTATATGCATAGTTTCTTCTGGTGTCTACTGTACACTAGTTAATTATGCCATTGCCAATATCTAACAGTATTAATGAGACTGCAAACTGCCCATTTACTGGCAAAGTCATGCTTGTGTGCAACTTCAAGCTCAATAGACTCACCATTTTCTCTGACTCACTTGCTCTATACTTTACACAGGTTTGATTTCAAACTAAATGATCCCTCCAAAGTAAAATGTGAGATTCCTTTGCATCATCTCGTATGCATGCCATAATGGTATTTGAAGCTAAAAATAATGTAATCTAAAGCAGGCAAAGAACTACTGCATTCATTTTATGTAGTGTTCTGCCTGCCCTGTACTTAAGTTCCTAACCTCCAAATTTGTTTTGTGGAGAGGGTATCAAAAAAACACATCACCAAAGTATGTGAAATGGGCTGAAATATGTTTCTATGCATGTGGCAGTTAGGCATAGTATTTCCCCAATGTTCAAAATGAAGAGTGAGTATAGTCATTGCACAATTTAGGAATGCATCAACTTACACAATGAAGAAACAAACTGTATTGTGTAAACCATAAGGATGTATCTAGTGTTTTTGCCACTTAAAGATGAAGTTTAATCTGCCTTTATTTTGACCTCCCTAATCCAGGCACCGGCTGTGGCCTTAGGCTGCATCTTTTGGGTCATGTGGGGGGGACAGCAAGCACAGCGGCATGTTTGCAGTGTTCCTGCCGTCCCCTTTCCAGTTAGAGCGTCCCAGGTTTCTAGGAGCCAGGCAGGGAAATGTGTAAGGGCCAAACACATTTTCCAGTCTAGCTCTTAGCAACCTGAGATGCTCTGGCTGGGTCTAGCTCAGCTCCTAGCAACTAGTAACATCACTGGTTGCCAGGAGCTGAGCAGGATGCTCTAGCTGGCATCCTGCCCAGCTGGGAGGGGAGATGATGCAAATGCCACCACCACCCGGCCACCCCATGGGCGAAAAAGGGTAGGGACGCCCCTGATTATTACATTTTTAAATACAACTTTTTTGTTTTCATTGTGTACCTTATTTTACACTCAATGATGTCATCACGGTGTCTCTGTGCTACTCTATGCAGTGTAAGCAAATGATGGCTGGTGGGGGAGGGGCAGGGTGTTGTACATAGCTTCATGAAAACATCACATTTCTCAAGAGCCGGCAGCTGTCTCTTGAGAAATGTTATGCAAATATCAAAATGCCTTAATGGGTGGATGTCAGTATGGAGGAGTGGGCATTCCTAGGCAGGCTGCATTTGTATGACTGCCTCAGGTAATGCCCACATATGCTGAGCCTCCGTAATTAAAGAACTGAAATCCAATGAATGAAGGGGCAGAGCAGGGACAGTCAAGCTAGGGTGGAAAGAGCTAGATGATCCTGGATGTCCTCCAGCCAGTAAAAGAGGCAGGCTTCATCTGACATGCTGCATCTTCTAATGTTTACTGTGGGCTTATCACAATATGCAGTGAATTAAGTGTAAGCATTTTCAGGACAGGAGAGGAGCTTGTACAACTGTGCAAGACTAAAGGTGGGGCTGGAGTTCAGCTTTAAAACGAAGCCCAACATGGTTCGGCAAAACCAGTCATTTCCTGTCATTTCAACATCTAATATATTTAGCCCGGTGCCCATAATAACCTCCTGACATCCATAATAAAGTGCGAACACTGATTTTATGAAAATAATGCTCCACAATATACATTACTAAGAGAAGGCTGAATAGTATATGACAGGAAGGAATATGTTCCGCAAAGTCACATGGCAATGTCTAACAAGATGCAGCAATTGTTCACATATCATTTAAAGAAGAACTCTGGGAAAAAACTTTTATTAACACTTGCATTGTAAGTACTCATTCACACGAGAAAAGGCTGGCACGTACAGATCTGTGCTGCGTGCACGGCCGTATCGGGCAGCTCCCGGGAAGGACAGGTGCTGCGTGTGATTAGCACACAGCCCCCGTCCTTCTCTATGGGAGTACACGGCCATACGCCGCCCTACGCTCACCTGCCCTGCACGTCCGTGTGGGTGTCCGTACTCGTATGCTGACAGGATGGATCCTGTCTGCGTCCAAACCCGAGACACCCGCACCTGTACGGACCTACACTTGGGGTGAGCGTAGGGCGGCGTATGGCCGTGTACTCTTTGTCTTCCATTGAAGGAAGACATTGAACATAGGGGTGTGGGGGGGGAGAAAGAGGATCGGGCGGTGCTGGTACGGTAAAGTGGGGAGGAGAGGGGGAAGTGAAGAATCAGTTGTGGGCCAGAAGTATGTCACGTTTAAGCATGTTTCCCATCTGGCCCCATCTAACTATCCAGGGAGTTCTGCTTACAGCTTAGGTGACGAGTTGGTATTCTGACAGATCTAAGGTCTTGCACAAGGAAACGTTCCACAAATATGGCATGGCCTTTCACTCCACCATAAGTGTGCTGTATTCTGGTGAGTAGAGATACTCCAACCAGTAAAACCAAGTTTTGCGGAACGCTCTATCTCTATGGTGTAGTGCGGCAGTCAATTCCTCCATTACGCGGATCTAGTCCACCTTGCGTAGCCACATACCCACTGTAGGAGGAACACAACACAGAGGAATACAGGCCCTGGCTGCGTTGATCAGATGCATCAGCAGAGATTTGCAGTATCGGGTCTTTGACATTGGGCACAGGTGTAATAATAGAGCCGCCGGGTCCCCAGTCAGGGACACACCTGTAAGTTGTTTGATAATTCGAAGGACTGCATCCCAAAACTCCCCGAGGCTTTGGCAGGACCAGAAGATGTGGAGTATCGAACCCCCCTCTCTTCCACATCTCCAGCACGTCAGCGGGGTCTGAGGGAACATTTTGTGAAGCTTGGTGGGAACGATCTGGTAAGTATTTTGTAACCTGTTTCTTGTATTGAGCTAGCTATCGAGGCTTTATGCGAAAAATGCAATATGAACTCTTTTTGGTCTTGTGTGAAGGTTTTGGTCAGATCTCGTTCCCACTTTGCTATGTAGCTAGGTTCAGGGTGGTCAGCCAGCCAAATTATAAGGGCATATGCCGTGGACAGACCATGGTCAACATATCCGCCTGCCCAGTAAATGTCCTCAAACGGTGTTAAGTCCGTATGTGGCGATTGGGGAGCACTAGATCTTGAGAGGAATCTACGTATCTGAAGGGCCTGCCACCTCAATAGTGGTGGTGTAACCAGGCCACTCAGTGAGTCGAGACAGATAGGATTTTGAAACACTTGAAAATGTCCTATCCTAAATCTATTTGCTTCCACCAGGCGTCTGAAGGAGCTGTCTGCCAAGCTGGGGGCGAAGGCTGGGTCACCTACGACCGGAGACATAATAGAGGGAGAGGCGCTGTCTGGGAGTAGTGTAGCTGCCGACTTAAGCGCCCGTATTGTGACACCCGTAAGCGGATGATGTAGTATGCCTCTTGGTAAGGGTGAGGCAGTCCATAGTAGCCCGGCCATTGGCAATGAAGAGGTTGCCTGTTCCAATTGCAGCCAGCGTTTGTCTGAGGACACGTTACACTATTCAAACGCTCGCGCCATATGCGCAGCCAAATGATAGCGAATGGGGTCCGGAAAGCCGATCCCCCCCTCTGGACTTGGGCAGAGCCAGTAAAGATCTGTTTAACCTGTGGGCACCATTCGCCCAAATAAATGAAGCAAACTCTCTCCGCACTAATTTCAGAAACGTCATTGGGATTTGCACTGGCAAGGTTTGGAATAGGTAAAGTAGTTGTTGTAGAATATTCATTTTCAATACACTATTTCTCCCGAACCACGAGATGGTACGGCCCGACCACTTGGCCAGATCACGTCGAATATCGGAAAGTAGTGGCGGAAAATTCAGCTCAAACACTTTGGCAATGGAAGGGGACAGCTTTGTCCCCAGGTAGGTAATGTGTGAGGTCGACCAACGGAAGGGGAATGCCGTCTGTAGGCCGGAGAGAGTGGTAGGAGCTACCGTAAGGTTGAGTGCCTCGGATTTCTGCAAGTTAATTTAAAAATTTGAAGATTCTCCATAAGTCTCCAATTCAGCCATCAGGTTTGGGAGGGAGAGAGTAGGTTTAGTCAGTATGAAGAGGAGATCGTCGGCGTACCCTGCTATTTTGTGTGTCCTAGTGCCGGGGAGCAATCCCGTGATGTCTGGGTTGTCCATAATTTTACACAGTAGGGGTTCCAGCGATAAAATAAAAAGTAGCGGGGAGAGCGGACATCCCTGCCTGGTCCCGTT